TTCCGTGGCGGCGGCTGCGATCGGGGCGGTCGGGCCCACCTGGCAGCGCTTCAACCGCCTGCAGCAGGCCGCGCGTGTTGTTCCTCCACGCGTCGGGGGCCACACTGCCCTTGAAGGCGGGCGGGGGCCGGAGGGGCATGCCGGTCAGGCGACACAGGTCACAGCAAGGCCACCAAGACAGGAAGGTGGGGGGGGCCTGTGGCAAGGTGAGCTGGGGGGCGGCAAGCCCTTGCGGTTGGTTTAAACCAAAGGGGGCCGGGCAGGCACGGCGGGGGGGGCGGGCGCAGCGCGCGCCCCTTCAGCTTTTTCATTTGGAATTCCACGTGCCGCACCGCGCGCTGGTAGTATTCGTCGTCGCGCGGGATGGACCGGACCCTCCGGGCACCCGGAACCCAATAAGAAGGGGATGCCCCCCGGCTGAGCAACGCCGGCCCGGAGAGAGAGGGGCCAGACGCCCGGGGTTGTGAGGGTTTTTGTGTGGGGGGGGGGGGGGCAGCATGCTGCGCCCCACCTCGACTGCTTGAGCACAACAACACAACAGCTGCCCTCAAACGCTTACCACCACCACCACCACCACCACAGGCGCACCCTCCTCCTCACCCCGGGTCTGCGTAGCACAGCAGCTGGTACTCCACATAGATGGCAAACAGATCGCGCTGGCTGTAGCTGCCCAGCCCCAGCACATCCGCGGCCCTGCGGGGGGCAAGGGGCAGGCGGGCAGGCAGGCAGGCAGGTGGCAGGCCGGGAGCAAGACGCCAAGGGAAGGGCGCGGGCGAGAGGCGGGCCACGGTGCGGCAGGCAAGCTCGTTCAGGCTCCCAGACGGCTGGAACGCAGGGAATCAGGAGTATCATTGATGCATTGGCGGGGCCCAGCGGCGCCAGCACAGGGGCTCACCGCTGCCAGCCTGGCGACTCCCCTGCCACGTCAGCGCCCGCCCCCGCCGCCCGCTTGCCCCGCCGCTTCTCCCCCTCCCGCCGCTCCTGCCGCCCCCGCTGCCGCCCGTCCTGCTCGCCGCTGCCCTGCGGCCCTTCAGCATCGGGGTCTCCCTCATCCGTCAGCACAGACACCTCCCCCTCCTCCTCATCATCATCCGCCGCCGCCTCTTCCCCCGACTCCTCCCCCTGCTCTGCCCCTCGCAGCCCTGCCACCGCAGCTGCGCCAGGCGGATGCGGTCTGCTGCGGTGAGCTGCGGGGGGGCGGGCCGCTCCCGCCGGGAGCGGGCCAGAGCCAGGCCGCTGCCAGCTGGCGCCACCTCACGCGTCTGCTGCTGCTGCTGCTGCACCCGCCCCTCGTCCTGCGTCGGCTGCTGCTGCACCCGCCCCTCGTCCGGCGTCGGCTGCTGCTGGGGGTGCCGCCGGCTGGACGCCTGCTCTCCTCTGCTCCCGGCGCTGCCCCGAGCGGAGCCCGAGCCCTGCTTCTGCAGCCGCCGCCGCTTGCCCGCAGGCGTGGCCTCCACCCCTGCTGCCGCCGCACCCGCTCCTGCTGCTGCTGCTGCTGCTCCTGCTGGCTCGCCGCCGCCTGCCAGCACCGGCAGCTCCTCCTCGCTCTCGGAACTTTCCACCACGGCGGCAGGCTTGCGCTTCCTGCGCCGCTGCTGCTGCTGCTCCTCCTCCTCCTCACTCCCCTCCTTCTGCCCTGCCCCGCCGTCGGCAGCATGCCTCCCGACTGCTGCCGCCGCCGCAGGGTCAGCCTCATCGTCATCCTCCCAGCCTGCCGCCGCCGCCGCAGCCGACCCCGCCGCCGCCGCAAAGCCTCTGGCCGCCGCCGCCGCGCGCCGGCCCCGCGTGCCGGGCGTGTCCCGCCGCTGCGCCCGCCCCGCTGCCTGCTCGCCGCTGGCGCCGGAGCCGCCGCTGCTGTCTTCCTCGCCGCCGCTGCTGCTGCTGCCGCCCTCCTCCCCGTCAGCCGCTATGAAGTCATCCATGTCTGCACAGGGGCGGCCAGGTCAGCCAGGGCGCCAGTCAACCGCAGGGTGCCAGGCGTCACGGGGCCAAGCAACCCATCAATGAATACTACTATGACTATAGTGTATCGTAGATGTATGCCTGCCATGCCTGGCAGGCCCACAGGCAAGCACCCACGCCAGCCACCCGACCACCAGCACCCACCGGCATCAGACTCCGACGGAACATAGTCTGCCGCGCCTGCCAGGAACTGGGAGCGCCTCCTGCCGCCCCCCGCGCCGCGGCGTCGGCTCGGCAGCGCGGCAGGCGCGTCGCTGTCGTCGCTGCCGTCGTCGCCGCCGCCGCCGCCCGGCTCCCCTCCCTCCTCGCTGCTGCTGCTGTCCCGTACGACGGCGGTTGCCCGCCGGCGGTGCTGCCGAGCGGCCGCCGCCGCCGCCGCGGCGCGGTCCGTCCTGGCCTGCCGCAGCTCCACCAGGGCCGCCGCCTGCTGCTGGCGCTGCCCCGGCTGCCGCGCAGCCGCTGCGCCGGCAGCGGCCCGGCGGCTGCTGCGGCGCACGCCGCCTGCAGTCGCCGCACCCAGCTGCTCGCCTCGGCGGCGGGGTGCAGCACCCTCATCGCTGCTACTGCCTCCGGCTTTTCCCCTGCGTTGTCTGGTTGCTGCCACGTCAGCTCCCCGCTTGTCGGTGGTGGCGCTGGCAGGGGACAGCAGGCCCCGTGCAGGCTGGCGGCGGGCGGGAGGAGCGGCGGCGCGTCGCGGGCGCTTGGCTGCAGCGGCGCGGGGAGGGCTGGCTTCTGCCTCCTCGTCCTCCTCGCTGCTGCCGCTGGTGAGGGTGACGTAGGCCTCGCTGTCAGAGGCCTGCTGCTTCATTCGTCGATCAGAATGTCAGATGGCGCTCTCAGGGGGGGCTCCCCAACCAAGCAATCAGTCCCGGCGTGCACTGTGCATTGGCAGGGGACTGCGAAACGCGAGGAGGAAGTAGTGACCGCAGTCGACTGCCTCGCTGGCAATTGGATGGGCTTGGGAGCAAAACACGCCGATGCCGCCGATCCAGCCCTCTTCCCTCGACTCCAGCTTGCTGGTGATTACCTTCAGCACCGCCCCGGGACCCGCACGGTTGCAACCATGTCCGCCCAGGCCACCCTCTGCAGCGCTCTGGCGGTGCCCGTTGCCCGCGTGGCGGTGCAGACCGCCCAAAAATCCGTAGTGGCGCCCTCACGCATGCACATGGTGCAGCGCCGCACCACCCTCCGGGCAGTTGGCGCTGGTGCAGGCCGCCGGGCTGCCGTGTTTGTGAGGTGCGCCGCTGCTTGCCCGGGGCAGTGGGCAGCATGGGGAGCATCAGATGTATCCGCCGAGCCGGCATGCTGCCTGCACCCGGAGATGCCGCCTGCCGCCTGTGGTTGGCGGCGCACTTTTGCCGTCGCTCAACCGGAAGTGCCAGCCAGGCAGCGCCAGGCAGCCAGCTGCAGTGGGGCGATCGCCATGCTGATTGGCAGCCTTGGACAGCTGTCAGTAACCCGCAGCCAGGGCTGACCGCGATCCCCCCGCCTCGCTCGCTGCCGCAGCGCCGCCGCCGCCACCGAGCAGGCCGGCCTCATCGCCCCCCACGGCGGCAAGCTGGTCAACCTCATGCTGCCCGCGGGTGCGCTGGCATGCCCACCACGCTGACACACATCACACGGCACAGCCGCGTGCAGGACTCTGCTGCATGGTGGCCGGCTGCGCAGCCATGCTGGTGGGCGCCGCCGGCCTGCCAACCTTTGCTTTCCGCCGCGCCTGCCGGCAACACGGCCTGCCCCCGCAGACAAGAAGCAGGCCGCCGTCGACTCCTGCAACAAGACCATCGAGCTGTCGGACCGCAACGCGTGTGATGTGGAGCTGCTGACCGTGGGGTGAGCTCCGGGCTGGGTGGCTGGCTGGTGGGACGTGGGGCCGCTGGCTGACGAGCTGCGGCATGCTCCATGCACCTTGCATGCTGCTGCACCTTGCTTGCAACGCTCGCCGCTGCTGCTGCTGCTGCTGCTGCTGCTGCTGCTGCTGCTGCACATGAGGGCTCTGCATCAGGCACCGCCGCCCGCACGCTGCCGCCTTGCCGCCTGCCGTACCGGGCCGCCGCTCAGCCGCGCCGCCAGCGGCGTGTGGGCGGCACGGCGTGGCACGGCGGGCTCATAGGCAGCGCCAGAGCAACGGCGGCGCATGCGCCGCGCGGCGGCGCGACCCCCGGCGGGCCTCCTCATTCCTGTGGCCGGCGGGGGTGCCGCCACCTGCCGCACACACCAGCCTGCACTTGCCATCCGCTGCTGCACGGCATGCAAAGCATGCCCAGCGCTGCGCGGCGCGTGTCCCCGGCCTCGCCGCCTCTGGCCTCACCGCCTGCCTCCCGTCTCCGCCCGCCTCCCGTCCCGCCCCGCAGCGGCTTCTCCCCGCTGTCTGGCTTCATGAACAAGGCCGACTACGAGTCTGGTGAGCTGAGGTGGCGCGGCGCTGAGCTGGCGGCGCCGAGCCGGCCGCGGCTACGCCCCACCCCGCACCGCGGGCAGCAGCCGGGCAGGGTCTGGGGTGCCTACCTGCCGCGCCGGAGGCACGCCCCGGCCCCCGCGGCCGCCTGCTCAACGCACCCGCCGAACGCCGCCCGCCGAACGCTGCCCGCGCCCCGCCTGCGCCCCTTGCCGCAGTGGTGGAGCAGCACCGGCTGGCCAACGGCCTGCTCTTCGGCCTGCCCGTGGTGCTGGACACAGACAGCGACGACATCTCGCTGGGGGACCGTGTACTGCTGACGTACAACGGCCAGGTGCGGTACGGGCGTGGGTGCGGGTGCTGCGGTGGGGGCCGGAAGGCGCAGGCCGGTGGTGCATTAATTCAGGCGGCGCAGCGCAGGCATCGCTGGGCCGGGAGGGCCGGCGGTGTGGCATCGTTTGGGGCCGGGCGTGCCGACGGCTCGGTGGCGCTGAGGGTGTGCGCGAGCAAGCTCTGCCTGCGCCAGGCTGCGCCCCTGGCCGGCCCCCCTGCTCACCCCGCCTCCCTCGCCGCCGCCCGCGCGTCTGCCCGCCCGCAGAAGCTGGCTGTGTTCACTGTGGAGAGCAAGTGGCGGCCCAACAAGCCTCTGGAGGCCAAGAACTGCTACGGCACCACCTCCATCGAGCACCCGGCTGTGCAGGTGCGAATGCGGTGCTGTCGGTGAGGTGTGGCATGCTGAAGTGTGTGTCTTTGTGTGCGTGCGCGTGTGTGCTCTCCTCTGCACCGCCACCCCCATCACAGCGCTGCTGCCACAGCAGCTCACACCACTCACCGCGCATGCCGCGCGGGTGGTCCGGCGGCCGCGGCGTGCATCTGCCTGCGTGCGCCCCGGGCCGTTGCCTCCGGCAGCCGCAGCTTGGACCTGCCTGCCAGCAGCCCAATCATCACTGTTGCCACCCATACCCGCCGACCCACCCCCACACAAACAACACGCACACACCTATGGCGCACGCAACACACATTTATGGCCCACGCTCACGCCTGCACACACCACACACACGCACACACACGCACGCACGCACACACACACACTCTCTGGTCCTGCCACCCTCCCTCCTGCCGCAGATGATTACCATGGAGCGGGGCAAGTATTACATGGGAGGGAAGGTGGAGGGCCTGGAGCTGCCCACCCGGGTCTTCCCCTGCGCCTCGCCCGCAGGTCGGCAGCCCCGCCGCAGCCGCCGCTCGCCTGCGCCGCCGCCTCGGCCTGGCGCATCCGCCTGGCAGCGTGCCACCCGCGCCGCTTGCCGCCACGCTCATGAAGGCACCCCCTGCCACCTCCTGCTGCCTCTCCAGTCTTCCTCTGCTTCCCCCTCGTACCCCCGCCCCCCCACCCCCACCCCACCCCGCCCACCCACCCACACACTCTCCCCTCCCCTCCCCTCCTCCCTGCCTCCCCGCCCACCTGCAGACGTGCGCTCCACGCTGCCCGAGGGCGTGGATGTGCTGGCCTTCCAGTGCCGCAACCCCATCCACCGCGCCCACTACGAGCTCTTCATCCGCGCCCTGGACGCCCCCAACGTCTCCAAGGACGCCGTCTGCCTGGTGCACCCCACCTGCGGGCCCACGCAGGTGCGCCGCGGGGCCGCGGCGCGGCCTGTGGGGAGAGCGAGGGAGGGAGGATGGGAGGCCCGCCCGCCGGGCCTGCTTGCCCACCTGGCCTGCCCGCCTGCCTGCCTGGCCTGCCCGCCTGCCTGCTCTGGTGCTCTGCCGCTCTGGACACCCCGCTGCCACGCCTGTACGTGTCGCCTCCCGGCACCAACACACGCATGGTACCGCACGTGCAGGACGACGACATCCCCGGCATTGTGCGGTACCGCACCTACGAGGTGCTGGCGGCCGAGGCCAACAACCCGCGCCTGCGGTGAGCGCCTGGACCAGAGGCAGGGGCCTGGCTTGCAGGAGCCGGGGCAAGGCTGGAGCCAGCAGGAAGAGAGGGGCCAGCCGGGGAGGAGAGGGGCCATTCAGGGCAGGGCCGGAGCAGCAGCGGCGGGCCAGCTGCGCCGGCCACTCGGAACAGCAGCCGTGCTCCGCCCCCCGCTCACCTCACACCCTCCCCGCTGCTCCTGCCCCTCCCCCCGCCCCCTGCCCCTGCCGCCAGGTGGGCCTACCTGCCCTACAGCATGCACATGGCGGGCCCCCGCGAGGCCATCCAGCACATGATCATCCGCAAGAACTACGGCTGCACACACTTCATCATCGGCCGAGACATGGCCGGATCCAAGTCCAGCCTGACCGGCGAGGTGCGGGCCCCGGGGGCGGCTGCGCGGTTGTGGAGGCATGCGTGGGCGTGTGTATGTGTGTGGCTTTGGTGGTGGCGGTGGTGGTGGTGGCGGTGGTGGTGCGTGTGGGCGTGCCGGGCCTCTCCCCAGCCGTCCAGCCGCCTCCCCTCCCGCCTTCGCTCCCTCCCGCCGCCTCCAACCCCTCCCTGCCTGCCACCCGCCCCCACCCGCCTGTCCGCAGGACTTTTACGGCGCGTACGATGCCCAGGAGTTTGCCACCGCCAACGCGCCGGAGCTGGGCATGCAGACCGTGCCCTCCCTCAACATCACATACACAGAGGAGAAGGTGCGATGTGTGTGTGTGTGTGTGTGTGTGTGTGTGTGCGCGCGCCTAGTGCTTGGCAGCGGTGAGGGGGTGTGGCGCTGGGCTGGAAGGGGCAGGGATGAGGGGCCACAGGAGAGGCTGCGGGTTGGCGGCAGGCATGCACGTGCAGGCTCACTGGCACCCCAACCTCGCTCTTGGCAGCAGCCGTTCGCCGCCGCGCACGCAGGGTGGTGCGCCGGGTCGGGCCGCTGCGCCGCCCGCCGCCCACCCGTCTGCCCACCCTGCGCCTGCCTGCCTGCCTGCCTGGCTGCCTGCAGGGGTATGTGACTGCTGACGTGGCGGAGCGGGAGGGCCTGCACAAGCTCAACCTCAGCGGCACCAAGTTCCGCAAGATGCTGCGCGCCGGCGA